GGGCAGGAGAGACCGTGAGACTCCTATCTCCAATAAACCACCAGAAAACCACAAGTGGCGCTGTAGCTCAAGTGATAGAGCGCTCGCCTTGAACTGAAGTGCTGAGGGACAGCGCCCAGGCCCAGAGTTCAAGCCCCACGACCGACCCAAAAAAAAAAAAATTAGAATGGGGCTGCGAAGGTGGCTCAGTGGTAGAGTGCTTGCCTTGCATGCATGAGGCCCTGGGTTCAATTCCTCGGCACCACGTAAGCAGAAAAAGCCAGAAGTGGCGCTGTGGCTCAAGTGGTAGAGTGCTAGCCTTGAGCTGAAGAGTTGAGGGACAGCACCCAGGCCCAGAATTCAGGTTTCATGAACGACAAAAACAAAAATAAAAAAATAAATTAGAATGTAAAATCCTATACAAAAGTCTGTAAGCCTGTTTCGTGGTGGTGTTGTCCAGATTGATTTCTATTTTTTTCTAACTGATTTAATGTAGGCAAAATGTATAAGTACTAATATTAAGTGGTTTGCAATGAAAGGGAAAAAATACGAAGTGAATATATCCATATCCTTTTCTTTCTTACCTCTGCTTGGTCTCCTACCTCCCTGCTCACACATACTTGGACTTGTACATCTCATTATTGCAATGGGTCCACCTGTATCCCTATCTAAACGATTTGTTTTTCCCTTCCCCTCCACAAATTATACCAACATCAAATACAGTGAAAGCAGGGGTTATACTGTCGGGGAGGGACATACAAAGCAACAAAGAAATAATCTTATAAATGTGTTAGAAATAATCGCATGAAAGAAAAAAAATTTGAATACATATCTTAGGGTTCACTTCCCTAACATCAACTTAACTGACCTTTTCTGCTTGACTCAGACATATACTAGTTATTGCAAATAAGGGAAACCATGGGACCTATTAGTGGTGGTTTTAGTCATGGGGCTTGAACTCTGGCCCTGGATGCTGTCTCTCAGCTCTTCAGCTCAAGGTGAATGTTCTACCGCTTGAGCCACAGCACCACTTCCCATTTTCTGGTGATTGGAGATAAAGGACTTTTCTGCTGGGGTTGGCTTTGAACCACAATCCTCGTATCTCAGCTTCCTGTATAGCTAGGATTACAGGTGTGAGCCACTGGCACCCAGCTTTAATTGAAATTTTTATTAAAATATTTTTAGAGGCACATAAGATCCCACATCTTATACTATTCTCCCTAGTGCTAACATTTTGCAAGACTATAGCATAGAAAATAAACTACATAACTTGTAGCTAGGAATGGGAGGGAAAAATAGGGGAGAAAGAAGGGAAGGGATAACATTGTCAAGAAGCATTGTACTCATAACCTGACGTAGGGAATTATAACCCTTTATATAACTAATTGATAATAATTTAAAACTACAGCACAGTACCACCTCCAGGAATTGGTACTGATACAGTCTGCCAACTCAAAACCTTCCAAAGTGAATTTTCAGTGAAATTTGAAAAGTCAAATTGGAGCTGATGGAGTGGCTCAAATGTATATCCTGCTTTGATTTGGCCTCAGTTTTGAGATAGGAAAAATACTGGTGATTGTGTTTCTTTCTGGACATAGGAAATATCAAGTTGTTTTCTCCTATCAGGGCTAATACTAAAGGTGGTCGTCTAGAAGGAATGCAGAGAACTGACTTGGAAAATAATTCTGAAACTGGGGAGTTACAACCTATACCTGAAGGAGCTTCAGCAGCCCCTGAGGAAGGTAAGAAAAAAATAAAAAGTTGTTATTGGCAGATAGCAGAAATACTAACTCTTGGTGACTATGGAAGGTATTGGTAGGTAGTGGTTGATTTTAGCAAAAAATGTCACTGAGATCTATCCAGCATACTTGATTTTGATTATATTACTGGTTATAATTTATTAAGATATTAAGCACAAGGCAAAATGAATAACTTACTGCATAGAATGACAGGTCTTGCCAGGTATTGTGGAGCATGTCAGTAATCTCAGCTATTTGGAAGGTGGAGATACAGGAGAATCAAGATCCTAGGTCATCACAGATAAAAGCACAAGACTATCTGAAAAACAAACTAAAATTCCATAAAGGATTAGCTGTGTATCTCAAGTGGTAGAGTACTTACTGAAGTAGGCTTTGAGTTTAATCTTTTTTTTTTTTTTTGTCCATTGTGAGGCTTGAACTCAATCAGCACTCTACCACTTGAGCCACAGCACCACTTCCAGCTTTTTCTGTTTATGTGGTGCTGAGGAATCGCACCAGGGCCTCATGCATGCAAGGCAAGCACTCTACCACAGAGCCACCTTCCCAGCCCCTTGAGTTTAATCTTCAGTATGCCACCCCCCTTTCAAAAAAAAAGTCTTATATATTCCATTCCCCAAAAAGACATTTAAGCTAGATGCTAATGCATTGTGCCTGTAAACCTTGCTAGTCAGGTGGCTGAGGTCAGAGGATCATGTTTCAAAGCCAGCCTAGTCAGAAAAGTATGTCAGATTTTTTTTTCACAGTTTAAGTTTTTTATTGTGAAAATACTGTACAGAGGGTTTACAGTTACATGAGCAAGGTAATGAGTACATTTCTTATCCAGCATTATTGCCTCCTCCTTTGTTTTTCCCCTGCCATCCCTTCCCTCCCACCTTCTCAGCTACAGTAGTATGAGATTCTTATCTCCAAGTAACCAGCAACAATCTGGAAGTGGAGGTATAGGTCAAGTGAAGAGCACCAGCCTTGAGTGGAAAAAAAACCAAGCAAGAAGAAGCTTGAGGCCCTCAGTTCAGGATCCTGAATTCAAGCCCCCAAACTGGCTCAAAAGGGGGAGGAAGGTGGCATTTACAGGGAGAAAAAGGCTGCTGATTATTCACCTGATCAGTCAGTACATATAATATAATAAGCCATGTACATTGAATTTTTACTAGATATGCAAAGATGAACTAAATATGTTCACAGTCTTACAGAAAAGCTATGTCTCTCTATTCTCTCCCTCCCCTTAAAGCTAATAAGAGTCTTTGTTGTTTGAAGTCAGTCTTGATTAATGTCTAGAGATTGCTTTGCTCTTCATATAGACACATTCCAAGCTTTAACCATTTAGAAAATTCCTTACACTGACCAACTTCAACTGTAGACTTTACCATACTTCTCTATATATTTTTCCAAGTTCACTATTCTTCTGAAAGCATAGAAGACATTTTTTTGTTTGGGGTGACAGAGGTGCTTGAAACAAACCATTGCTATGTCCTTTGAATATTAGCATTAAATAATGCCAACTTTCTTAAAGATATTTGGCATTGAAAATGTTTTTCATTTCTCAGTGGAACTGTGCTGTCTTCTACCTCGGTACTTACCTGAATTTCAGTGATGGATGAATTGTAGCTGATGTATATATTCAGGTGCCATCATCTGCCTCTAGATAGCCTATGAGAGGGTATGTAGGTAGTGGCCATTTTAGGGTCCTCAAGTAAAGAACACTAAACGTGTTTGTCTTCTCACTTATAAGTAGGCATTAGTTCAATGGGGTAGATTAAGTGAAAAGTATTTTCAATATTTTGATTTTTTATTTTCTACTTTGTTGATGACTAATGATCTTTATAGAAAAAATGTGGATATTAGCTATTTCATGTGTTTATACATTTAATAAATTATAATTACTTCTTTTGGGGGGGGGCAGTTGTAGGGCCTGAACTCTGGGCCTGGGTGCTGTCCCTCAGCTCTTCAGCTCAAGGCTAGCCCTCTTCCACTTGAGCCACAGCGCCACTTCCGGTTTTTTTCTTTTTGCTTATGTGGTGCTGAGGAATCAAACCCAGGGCCTCAGGCATGCAAGACAAGCGCTCTACCACTGAGCCACCTTCCCAGCCCTATAATTACTTCTTACAGCATGTATTAAAATTATAAGCTCATCTTTTTCATGAATCACTTAGGAAATTTTTTAATTTGCCTATTGGATTTGGTGCTTGTGATGAAGTAATCTTTTTGCTTATGTGGTGCTGAGGAATCCAACCCCGGGCCTCATGCATGCAAGGCAAGCGCTCTACCACTGAGCCATCTTCCCAGCCCAATGTATAATTTCTTGAATCCTGAGAAATGTTTATCAAAGAAAGTTTTAAATGGAAAATTACTCTTAGAATTAATTTTAACAACAAAACAATACTGGTTTGAAGGAATCCAATTAGAGTAAATCAAAAGTTAAAGCTGGGGGCTGGGAATGTGGCTCATTGGTAAAGTGCTTGCCTAGCATGCATAAAGCCCTAGATTCAATTCCGCAATACCAGATAAACAGGAAAGGCCAGAAGTGGTGCTGTGGCTCAAGTGGTAGAGCACTAGCCTTGAAGACAGCCTCAGGGACAGTGCCCAGGCCCTGAGTTCAAGCTCTAGGACCAGCAAAAAAGAAAAAAAAGTTAAAGCTGGTACCTGGGGTCAAAGGTGCAGGAGCACTGTGAAGAGAAGTGGTAACATGGCAGTTCTGGTTATGTCAGGGCTATTTTGCTTCCTGCTGAGTATATGCTAGTGAGTTTATGCTTATTAACATACTTGATAGACATCCTCTGTTTGGTGTTGGGATAAATAAGTTTTCAAAGCAAAATAAGTCCCAACGTTGGCATTTTTTAGGTGATTCTGTGAAGTACTCTAAACCTTATTTTTTTTTGTTCGATTGTGGGGCCTAAACTCTGGGCCTGGGCTCTGTCCCTCAGCTCTTCAACTGCAGACTAGTGCTCTACCTCTTGAGCCTCAGCCCCACTTCTGGCTTTTTCTGCTTATGTGGTGTTGAGGAATCAAACTGAGGGCCTCATGCATGCAAGGCCAGCACTCTACCACTGAGCCACCCTCCCAGCCCCTCTAAACCTTATCTTGAGAGTTCTACATGTTGCATTATTCATACATTACTGGCTAACATAACCATTGATGTTGTCTACCATTTGAATATTTGCTATTAATGTTACTAATACTAGTTAATCTGGTTTTAAAAAGATTTATGTAATGAATTAAGAATTGAGAAACATTTAATAAGTAATAACTACTTTTGATAATTTAGAAAATTCTAATAGATTCTTTTTTTTTTTAATCCTAAAGGTTGATATCTGAGTAGCTGAGAGCTTACAATATGTACAGTAAGCTGGGTAGGGCGCTACATGTGCCATTTGCTGAGTTTTTCTTTTTAGCACCAGTTCCACAAAGGGCCACAAGGTGGAGGTAATGCTGCACAGAAGTAGCTGAGGCTTTTTTTTTTTTTAAATAACTGACAAGTGTCACTCTTCTTCTTTTTTTTTTTTTTTTTTTTGATCAGTTGTAGGGTTTGAACTCTGGGTGGGCCTGGACTCTGTCAAGGTGAGTACTCCACCACTTGAGTCACAGCACTTTGGTTTTCTGGTAGTTCATTGGGAGATAAGAGTCTCATGGACTTTCCTGCCTAGGCTGGCTTTGAACCACAATCCTCAGATCTCAGCCTCCTGAGTAGCGATGATTACAGGCATGAGCCACCAGCGCCTACAGAAAATCTATATATGGGGCTGGGAAGGTGGCTCAGTGGTAGAGCGCTTGCCTTGCATGCATGAGGCCCTAGGTTCAATTCCTCAGCACCACATTAGCAAAAAGAACAAAGCTGGAAATGGCGCTGTGGCTCAAGTGGTAGAGCACTAGCCTTGAGCTGAAGAGCTGAGGGACAGCACCCAGGCC